AAGTTCTGCATACATTCCTATGGACTTACTTCTAAGGGTTTAAAAACTTGCCACCGGATCCAAAATCCCATTAAGCTGGGTGGTAAAAACACCATCTTAAGTGTTAAAGTGATCATATTAAGTGTTAAAGTGAACATATAGATAGGATTAAGTACTAAAGTGACCATATAAATAAGATCAAGTGTCTGGTAATAATAATAGAATTAAAAAGGAGAGAATGGTTCAACATGGGAAGCAGTCCACACAGCAGATACATAGAATGACAATCGCTTTAAGTAGCACTCTGTCCTCAGAATCAGCCCTCAAGGCTTCCTGGTCTGGCTGAAAAGCCCATGAGAGTATTTCAGGCATGGAAAGCCAAGACACTGTGGCAAAAAATGTTCTACATGAAGGAACTCTGTGAGTGAGACCCCAGCAGAAAGAAGTGACCATCAAAGAAGGATGTACTTTTCACTAAAGGGAGGAGAGAAATTCTACTTTGCTTAAGGCTTTGTCCAAATACTGATGGAGTTTGTAGACTCAAAAGGCTTCCATAGCCTAGGCAGCTCATTTCAAGAGCTTTGGGTGGTCTCTGATATTACATAAGTGACATATGGTCACTGATGTTACATAAGTGACATAACACATAAGAGTGTTAATTGTTAAATTAACAACAGAAGTCACTGTGCATTTACTTTCCATGCGGGACTTCTGTCCTCAATGAGTTATATTATGAGAGTTAAATGTAAAACTTGTTCTCAAACAGTTTGTGTGTGTGTGTGTGGTGTGTGCACATGCACATGCAAGCACAAACTGTTGAAATCTTCACTTAGTATAGAGTTGGTCTTTTGTGCACAAAGTTGATTGAAAATGAATCTTAATGGAGAATGGGACTGGGAAGGTGAGAGGAAGGAGGAGGGGGAGTGGGAGTGTGGGCGGGAGGGCAGGTATGGTGGGCAGAATCACTATATTCCTGAAGCTGTACTTACGAAATGCATGAAGTTTGTGTTCTTTAAATAAAAGGTTTCTTTGGGGGAAAAATGTGCAAATGTGTTGAGAAAACATTTCTCCAAAGAAGATAGGAAGTAGCCAATAAGCACATTGACATCAATAGTCACTGGGGAAATGTAAATCAGAACCATGAGATGGGAGCAGGCACTGTGGCACAGCAGGCTAAGCCTCCACCTGCAGCACCAGCACCCCATACGTGCACCAGTTCAAGTCCCAGCTGCTCCTCTTCTGATCCAGCCCTCTGCTTATTGCCTGGGAAAGCAGCGGAAGACGATCCAACTGCTTGGGTCCCTGCACCCATGTGGGAGACCTGAAGGAAGCTCCTGGTTCCTGGCTTTGGATCGGCCCAGATCCAGCTATTACAACAATTTGGGGAGTGAACCAGCAGATAGAAGATCTCTCTGTCTCTCTCTCCGTAACTCTACCTCTCAAATAAATAAATAAAATATGTAAAAAAAAAAACTAGCTTCATTAAAAAAGGGGAAAAAAAAAAACCATGAGATGCTACTTCACTCCAACCAGGATGGCTTAATAAAGAAGAATGTCAATGACAAGCGCTGGCAATGATGTGGAGAGAAGTGGGTGATGCGCTGCTTGTTGGAATGTAAAATGGAGTTGCTACTCCAGAAAGGTTCAACAGTTCAAGCACTTCCATTCCTAGATGAGCACTCATAATAATTTAAATAATGTTGAAACAAAACTTGTTTATGCATGTTCATGGCAGCCCTACGCACAACAGTCAATGGAAAAAACCCTGATGTTTGAACCCAAATGCCCATCAACTGATAAATAAACCAAAGAGTTGAGTCATGGAGTGGACTGTCACTCAATCACCAAAGGGAATGAAGCACTGACATGGCTGAAGCCAGACACAAAGGCCCCATGTTACATGATCTCATATATGTGCAACACCTAAGGCAGGCAAGCCCACAGAAAGAAAGCAAAGTAGTGGTTCTAAGGACTGGGAAGAGTTGGCAAATGGGAAGTGACTGCATAACAGGTGCAGGTTTTCCATTTGGGGCTTGGAAAATTTCTAGAACTTGATAGCAGTGATGGCTGTGTAATATTGCCCCAAAAATGCAAGAATGGACTCATACACTTTAAAATAGCCACACGATAATTCGCCATGTGATTTTCCCACAATAAACACAAACATCCATTAAGGAGAATCAGCTCATCACTGAGGTGTGCACCAACAGTGACTGCTTTCCTTGTAAGACCAAAGCAGCCGGCACCACACCTAGCAGAGCAAGCGACTGTGACTCCACCACATGATCAGTTCTTGCATTCGCCAGCGCACAAGCCTGAAACAACGTTCTGTTCACAGGAAGAAACAATTCTGTGGTGCACATTACAATTAAATTATAATTACCCAATAGGGGAAAACTCCCAGGCCCCGCCTGCCTTCCTGTCCCCTGACAAACACCGTATTTCTCTGTTTCCCTCCAGAATGCACCAAGGGAGACCAATGTCTAGTGCCCATAAGGGCTTCAACGAACCCTCGGCCCTCTGAGGGTCGGCTCACAGATATTGCTCCTGGAAACACAGTGAGAGCTACCCTGACTCCTTCCACTACCAGTTTTCCTCGGAAATAATTAAACTCGTTTTCCTAGCTTGCACCTATTCATGTATCTTCAGGCATAGTCTGAGCACATGGTGCCCCTCTGGCCTGGGGACTTCCAGTGCTCAGGGGGCTTCCACACCACAAGAACGTGGCTCATGATACTATCAAGTGACAGCACTGCCACCTGCATGAAGGGAGACACCACCGCCAGCTCACCTCGGTAAGTGACACACGTGTCTTTGTTTGGTTTCCATATTTGACATAAACCAGGGTTCTGTCAGTCAGGATTGCTGGGCACTGACTCATTTAAACCATCTGATTCTCTCTGCTGCAGGCCTTGTATTTTAACAGCCTGTGGGGCACAGATTACCTGCAGTTAGCTCAGACAGACTGAACTGGACTCACTTCCACAGCTGCCACCAATCACTTCTCCCTGTCCTGACAGCACAGTATGGGGAAGGGGTGGCATTTAAGGATTGAGCTTTTATTGTAACCATTTTTACAAACTTGAGTGGAAATGCTGCCTCTGTACCAAGACTCTGGATGGCTCGGGCGCAGATCCAGTGCCACAAAGCAGCTCTGGGCTTTGAGTACCTCTAGAAATAGGTCAGGTCACCAGGTGCCTCGGAGTCCCCAGTTCGTGGAGACATGGACACACTGTCTGCATATAATCTGCTGTAACTGAGTCACCTCAGTTTCCACCTTTCCACACCAGGCACACCTGCACGCAGGCACACTCACTGCCCTTGTCACATAGCCTCCCATTCCAGCTCAGCTGCTGCGGCTCTCTTCAGAGGACTCGTAAAGCTCCACTGTGTGTGACTGTTCCAGCTTGCCTCCCTTCTCCCACATCCACACCACAGCAGGTGCCGGCTGCCTCCTGATCTGCAGGAGTGGGACCCTACTCCCCAGGGCTCCTCCCACCACACCACACACACACACACACACACACACCTGCTGGTGTGGGAATCACCAACATCTCAGTGTCACAGCAGTGTGTGGGGGTTTGGGCAAATGCCCAGGGTCCGTGGCTATGCCTACACCATGGAAAACCTGCATGTGCTTTACAGCACTGGGAACACAGTGCGTGTCCATGTCCATGGTGCCTGGTCAGCTTGCAGTCAGAGGGACAGGTAAAGTCCCCTCTCTGGAACTGGAAAGCTAACAGCTGTCTCCATATCTGCTCTGGTCCCCACGCTTGGGTAAAACTGGGTTAGAATAAACTGATACTTCCTCTTAAAACACAGTGGTTTCTGGGGATGTCTGAAGAGGCCTGCAATTGTCCAGCTTCCCCTGTGGAATCCTCTGGCTTCAGACATGCCTGCTAAGCTGGGATTGTTCACCACGATCTGTGCAAGAGTGGAGGGCAGCTGGGCCCCTCTGCAGCCACAGCTGCCCAAGTCCTTTCCCGGGCGGCCTGCAGCTGTGTCTGGTTAGTGCTCTTATCCTGCCCTGCAGGGCTGCACAAGGTTCAAACAGCTTTGTTCCCTGGGTTCACTGCTGCATTCCCTGAATGCCAACAGAGGGACCTCTGTGATTCAGACCTGGGGCTCGGCACTGGGGATGCAGAAGTAAACTGAATGGACAGGAAGTCCTGGCTCTGTGGCATCTGTGATGTAGCAAAATGAGATGGCAGTAAACAGAACCAATGTCAGTGTACTCACAACCAGGGAACAGGTGCTGTGTACAAACCAAATCCAGGAGATGGAGAGAAGGAGTGGGGGTGAGGGGGGTTTCTATCTCATACAACACCAGGAGGGGGGCTTCAGCCAGAAGGTGGCTTTTGAAAAGTGACCTAGAGAGGTGACAGAATGGGTGTGCAGATGCCATGGGGGGGAAGCACCATCAATGTGGAACAGAGCCGCAAGCCTTGCACCAAGGCAGCAGGGGAGATCTTAACCATCCTACTGCAGCCCCCTGACTATGCTAGGATTACCTGGAAGGGGAACAGATCACAATTCAGGTGACAAACAATGGTAGGACCTGCATAGCCAGGGGCAGCCAACCTGGCAAGAAGGGACAAGGGCCTGGATAGACTTGACGACACAGAAGAAAACCACCAGGGCCTGTGAGGATGGACACAGTTCTAATGCCTGCCCAGTGGTTATCACAGGAAGCACTGCCCCTGCCTGCTGAACATTTCACCAGTAAACACTCAGGTGAGTCCCGAATGTCGCTGCAATGAGTGATGTTTCAATCACAAAATCCGTGTCCAGAATTTTGCATAAATGTTCATTTTCCCCAGGCTCTGCCCATCCTCAGTCTCCCATCACACGCTGCAAGCTGGCCTCCGAGAAGCTAAGGCAGCGACACTCATGGGCAGCTGGGGGCCGGTAACTGCTTCTCATGCCACTCCCTGATGCAGTCATTCCACCTCTCCTGTCCTGTGCCCCCTCCCCCGCACACACACCCCCAGGGGGCCTTTCATCCCTGCATGCAGCTGTGGCTGACAATGGAAGGAGCCAACACAAGCTCCCCTCCAGTCTTCATACTCCTGGGCTTCTCGGCACGGCCCTCACTGGAATCTGTGCTCTTCCCAGTTGTCCTGGGGTTTTATGTCGTGTCTGTCCTGGGCAATGGCCTCATCATCCTGGTCTCCTGTGTGGACGTGCACCTGCACACGCCCATGTACTTCTTCCTTGCCAACCTCTCCTTCCTGGACATTAGCTTCACCACCAGCATTGTCCCGCAACTCCTGGCCCACCTCTGGGGACCGCAGAAAACCATAAGTTATGCAGGCTGTGTGGTCCAGTTCTACATCTCTCACTGGCTGGGGGCCACCGAGTGTGTCCTGCTGGCTGTCATGTCCTATGACCGCTACGCCGCCATCTGCAGGCCCCTGCACTACATAGTCATCATGCGCCCACAGCTGTGCCTTGGCCTGGCCCTGGCCTCGTGGCTCGGGGGTCTGAGCACCAGTGTGGTGGGCTCCACACTCACCCTGCTTCTGCCTCTGTGCGGAAACAACCGCATTGACCACTTCTTCTGTGAGATGCCTCTCATCATGCAGCTTGCGTGTGTGGATACCAGCCACAACGAGCTGGAGATGTATGTGGCCAGCTTCCTGTTTGTCGTCCTGCCCCTGGGCCTGATCCTTGTCTCCTATGGCCACATCGCCAGGGCTGTGGCAAACATCAGGTCAGTGGAAGGGCGGAGAAAGGCGCTCAACACCTGCTCCTCCCATGTGGCGGTTGTGACCCTGTTCTATGGGAGCATCATCTTCATGTACCTGCAGCCAGCCAAGAGCAGCTCTCACGAGCAGGGCAAGTTTGTGGCTCTGTTCTACACCGTGGCCACGCCCACACTGAACCCACTCATTTACACCCTGAGGAACAAGGATGTACAGAAGGCTCTCTGGCACCTCGTCTCAGAGGACTGCTGCAGCTTCCTGGGGAAACAGGGGCAGGCTTAGCACTGCAGCCATTTTCGAGGAGGAAAACTAAGTTCTGAGTCATCAGAACCAATTCTGGATGGTGGACTTTTACAACCCACATCCCACATCAAAGCACCTAGGTCCCAACTCCAGCTTCCAACTAATGCAGACCCAGGGAGGCAGCGAATGATGGCTCAAGTGATTGGGTTCCCGCCCACCTTGTGGCAGACCTGAATGGGTTCCTGGCTCCCAGTCTTGGCTCAGCTAGATGGTTGCAGGTATTTCAGAAGTGAACTAAAGGATGAAGTGAACTAGATGATGTCTTGTTCCATGGAGGTGTGTGTGTGTTTGCCACTCAAATAAAATAACATTTTAAATATTTATTTTGGAGGGCTAGATATTTGGAATGTGATTTTCATTCTGATAGTTGCTGGGATCTGAGGCAGACAGAAATCTGAAATAAATGTGCTCCTATATAATTTCCAGGCCACAGCAAAGAGAAAAGTGTTCTCTATTTTAACCTGTAGTTAGTGGGTGTATCGTTCTGTTATATTGTTTCAATGGTCATATTGCTCTGTTGTGTGTATATTTATATATTTATATACATATGCATAGGTTGACTGCCATCTTGTTAACTGTTTATGTTTCACTGATGTTCACTGATACATGATTCTGTTAATTCTTTATAATTTAATTCTGCCATTATTCGAGGTAGACACTGTTAACCTCTAGCAGCTAAGTGATGGCAGAGACTGAGGGTTGGCACTGAGGTTTAGGTGTAGATCCACCTGACCATGGGTGTGCACACCGTTTGCCTATACCCCCTGCATACAGTCTGTTCTCCAGTTCCCAGCCTGGAGGTCCTAAATGCCTAATCCTTCCCTGAGCAACACAGGCAGTAGATCTTTTGCTGGCCAGACAGAGCTTCTTTTAACCACATTTAAGTCTATGCTAATCAGGTGACCTGCAGTGGCCCTGGGAAGCTTCAGGAAGGGGCTGCTGCCAGAGTAACAGGTCTCACGGTCAGAGGAATGGTCAGTTGCAGAATGCAGAGAAGGGGGCTGGAGCCAGAGTCTGGAGCCAATGACTCAGGTTTACCCAGTCACGCCTGTGCAACATAACCAATGACATGGGGCCAGCACTGTGGCATAGTGGGTAAAGCCACTGCCTGCAGTGCCAGCATCCCATATGGGCACCGGTTCTAGTCCTGGCTGCTCCACTTATGATCCAGCTCTTATCTATGGCTTGAGAAAGCAGTGGAAGATGGCCCAAGTGCTTAGACCCCCTGCACCCACATGGGAGACCTGGAAGAAGCTCTTGGCTCCCAGCTTCAGAAGACCACAGCTCCAGCTGTTGTGGCCATCTGGGAAGTGAACCAGCTGATGAAATACCTCTCTCTCTGTCCCCCTCTCTCTCTGCCTCTCTGTAACTCTGCTTTTCAAATAAAATAAATAAATCAAAAAAAAAAATGACAGAGTTCAGAGGGCTCTGAGTTGTTGACCACATCCACATGCCAGGAGGGTGGTGTTCCCCAGCCTCACATGGACAAACCTTCCTGCACAGGACGCTTCCAGCCCAGCCCAGGGATTTTCTTCATCTGCCATAACATCCTTCACAAAAAACAAGGAAGAGAAAGGCCCAGCAAATCCCCCAACCTGAGGGGAAGCCCTGACTCACAGCCAGGTGATCAGAGATGCCATCTGAGCTGAGGGTGTCTTGTGGGGTTGGGTCTTTGGATCTGTGGAGCTCAACACTCAATCCAGGTGTTAATGCTAGAACTGAATTTAATTGTAGGGTACCATGTGGTATCCAGAGTTGAAGAACCCCACACATCTGACATCAGAAATACCATGAGCAGGCACAGCCCCTCTTCCTGAGGAGTGAATCCACCCATGAGGACATCTCAGCTTGCAGCTTTAAGCTGCACCGTCCACAAATTCCTGCTTCATCAAACACGTGCTCCACTGACTTACCTGAAACTGCCAAACTACAGATTTTCCTGCTCAGTTCTGTGTTTGCCCTGTGATTTCAGAAAGCATAGGGATGCTTCCATCACTCACTGGTGCATCTGCTTGTTTTACATGCATCGAGCATGCATGCATTCATTTGCACAGCAAGATCTGTTCTGAAAGTTGTGAACGTGAGCACAACACTGCCCTGAGACAGGTAAGTCCACAGGGGGACACTCTACGGTAATACTGACACTGTAGAGGAGGAAATTCTGACCAGAGAGAAAGGAGTGTTATACCCATCCTTAAGCATTCCATAGCCAGGGATCCACAGTCATCTACTTATGAAAATGTTTTGCACAGTTATTCCTTATGTGGCTTTTTCTCAAAAAATCCCACCTCCAGAAATTTCCTCCACTTCTCTGAATTAAGCCCAATGTCACATGTAGTCTCACAGACTGTACTTTTAATTCACACCAGCAGATGCTGGGAGATCTGGAGAAACACCCAAATACAGTCAGGGCTTAGCCCCAGCAATGGCCGACACCTTCAGTGTCATTTCTAAAGCAATCAAATACAAGCAAAGAAATGTGGGAGCTATGTACACACTAAAGAGCTCAGGGTTTAAAAAGGCAAAACGTGGATTTTCCATAACTTTCTGGAAATTGGTGACAACGATTATGTTAGCAAGGTTCTCCAGAGAAATTGAAAGGGGGAGTGGATTTTAAGGACTTGACACACGGGACTGGGCCAAGTCCAGAAGCCACAGGGTAGGCTGGGATGCAGGAAGGGACATGCTGCAGCCAGGCCCAGTGGCAGCTGGTGAATGGAATCCACTCTTCCTTGGGGGACCTTGTTTTGTTTTCTTTCAGAGCCTTCACAGGATAGAATGAGGCATACCACATTGCTGAGCACAACTTAGTTAACTTGGAGATTTCAATAATGATCTCATCATTTAAAAAATTACCTTCACAGCCCATCCAGACTGGTTTTTGACCAAGTAGATGGGTACCATGGATTAGCCAAGTTGACATGTAAAATTAGCCATCACATTTTTTGTAAAAACCCCAAAAGTACAGGAAACAAAAGAACAAATGGGTGACAGCAAATTTAAAAGCTCCTGCACAGCGAAGGAAACTATCGACAGCGTGAAGAGACAACCTGCAGAATGGGAGCTGTACTTGCTGACTCTTCCTCCGGCAAGGGGCTATCATCAGTAAAGAACTCTAACTCAATACCAGCAAAAAACAAACTCCGCTTAAAAATGAGCGGGGCCGGTGCAGTGACGCAGTAGGTTAATCCTCTGCCTGTGGCGCCCACATCCCACATGAGTGCTGGTTCTAGGCCCTGCTGCTCCTCTTCCAATACAGCTCTGTGCTATGGCCTGGGAAAGCAGTGAAAGATGGCCCAAGTGCTTGGGCCCCTGCTCCCGCGTGGGAGACCTGGAAGAAGCTCCTGGCGCCTGGCTTTGGATCAACCCAGCTCTGGCTGTTGCAGCCATCTGGGGAGTGAACCAGCAGATGAAATACCTTTCTGTCTCTCCCTCTCACTGTCTATAACTCTCAAATAAGTAAATAAAATCTTAAAAAAAATAAGCACTAAAAGGACTGGCACTGTAGCACAGCTGGTTAAACTGCTGCCTGTGATGCTGGTGTCCCATATCGGAGAGCTGGTTTGAGTTCCAGCTACTCTGCTTTCAATCCAGTTCTCTGCTAATGCACCTGGGAAGGCAGCAGAAGACGGCCCAAAGTACTTGTGCCCCTGTACTGACAAGGGAGACCAGGATGGAGTTCCTGTCTCCTGGCTTCAGCCTGGCCCAACCCTAGCTGTTTTAGCCATTTTGGGAGTGAACCAGCAGATGGAAGATCTCCCTCTCCCTCTCCTCTCTTCCCTCTCCCCTCCCCCACCCCCTCCTCTCTTCCCTCTCCTCTTCCCCTCCCCTCTTCTCTCCCTCTTCCCCTCCCCCTCCTTCTCTGTGTGTCACTTTGCTTTTCAAATAAATATTTTATTTTAAAAGGCAGGAGGTACAGGGCAAAGACCTAAACAGACATTTCTGAAAATAAAACATACATGAAAACTGCTCCTGGTTTTCACTGGTGTTCTCCTGACAATTAACAATGTTTCTTCCTTTAAGAAACAACTGTTCACATCCTTTGCCCATCTGTAGCTCAGATTCTGTTTTCTTTGTTACACTGTTTGAGTTCCTTATTTGTATTGGATGTTAGGCCCTTATCAGATGAATGTTTATAAAATTTTCTCCAGCCGGCACCGCCGCTCACTAGGCTAATCCTCCACCTTGCGGCACCGGCACACCGGGTTCTAGTCCCGGTCAGGGCGCCGGATTCTGTCCCGGTTGCCCCTCTTCCAGGCCAGCTCTCTGCTATGGCCTGGGAGTGCAGTGGAGGATGGCCCAAGTGCTTGGGCCCTGCACCCAATGGGAGACCAGGAGAAGCACCTGGCTCCTGGCTTTGGATCAGCGCGGTGTGCCAGCTGGCCGCGGCAGCCATTGGAGGGTGAACCAACGGAAAAAGGAAGACCTTTCTCTCTGTCTCTGTCTCTCTCTCTCTCACTGTCCACTCTGCCTGTCAAAAAAATTTTTTTTTCTCATAGTCCATGATTTGTCTTTTCATTTTGTCCATTGTTTCCTTTGCTGTGCAGAAGCTTTCCAGCTTTTGTACGTAGAAAACCCTCAAGACCATCAAAAACAGTTTTTGATGGATCTTTTTGTTGCAAACCCATTTGTCTGTTTTTCTATTTGCTGCCTTCACCTTTGAGGCCAACTCTGAAAAGTAATTGCTCAGACGAAGGTCTTGGAGCATTCTCCAAGCTTTTCCATTTCAGGTCTTGCATTTCAGTTCTCTACCATTTGAGTTGGTTTTGTATGTTGTGTGAGATAAGTCTTCGGTTTCATTCTTCTGCATGTGGACACCCAGTTTCCCTGAAACCATTTATTAAAGGGACTGTTCTTTATCCACTGTGAATTGACCATATGGTGTGGGTTTGCATCCTGTCTCCTTGGTCAATATGTCTGACTATAAGCCAGTGCCATGCTACCATGATTACAATAGCTTTATGGCATGTTTTGAAACC